CAGGGGTGGCAGTTGGAGCACGTGGCCTACCTGCTGTGGCCCCGCCCCCGCGTCAAGCCCCGCCCCTCTCGGAGGCCTTGTGGGCTAGAGCCGCCCTGGGGGGTGAGGGGGTGCTGCCTCTTGGTTTCCTTTATGGGCCCTGAACCTGCCACGCACTGCATTACATTAGGTGTCACACCGTTCACTGGGAATTTTGCAATTGAAACAAGCCACAGTGTGCAAAGCTGCTATCGCACTAGTCACGGGTGAATTGCACCACCAGCCACATGCAAAGCCATTATGACACGAGTTGTGAGCATCACCATCAGCCAGGCGTGCAAAGTCGCTATTGCACTAGTCATGGGTGAATCGCACCATTGGCCATGCGTTCAGAGCTGTTAGCACAATAGTCAAGGGTGCATCGCACCATCAGCCACACGTGCGAGACCGTTATCACACTGTTCGCAGGTGAATCGTGCAATAAGTTCAGCCCGGGCATATGGACAAAGTCATTATCGCACCGTAAAAAGGATGCTCCAACTTGAAAGAAAAGCCTTTCTTCCTCATTCGTGTCCGTGTGACACGGGATTTAGCAGAATTCATGGATTTGGTGTTATCTGACAGGGCCACACTGTGATCACGGTTGCTCTGTCACAACCCAAAGGGTGTGATTTTTGTTTGTGTGTGCTTCGGCACTGCTAAATTGTTCCCGCTAAATTGCAGCTTCCTTGCACGGCGGAGTTTTCTGCTGCAAAAGAGAACCCCGGTGCAAGGAAGAATTTCCCGCCAATTTGAAGCTTTCTTTGCAGGGTGCATTTCTTTGTTGCAGCACAGAGATGCTCGTTGCAAAGAGTTCCCGCCATTTGTATGCTAATTTGAGTCCCATTATTGGCCAGTTCTAAATTATTCACACGTGGCGGCTAGTGATTGGCTTGCTAGCCGTATAAGAGGCTTGAGTGGTTTCTGCCCAAGTTGGAGGACTCCATGAACAAGGGAGGAGGAGTCTTCACGCTGTGTGAAGATCTCTAAGCGCTGGGGATCCTTACGGACCCAGTGCATTTAAAGCAGGCAAGAGAGGTCTGATCAACCTCTAGCCTCTCCCCATCGCCGATCGCAGTCCAGACGTATCCCTTCCCGCGCGCAAAAGAACCGGACCCATGAAGCCTAGCGAACTTCGTGTGAATCCTGGAACGAACTATTCAGAGCTCTTCTACCCGGGTTCGAGTCCTGCAGGTTTATCTTCCCGTCGCCGAAACCCATTGCGACGTACCCTCGTATTTTTCATCTTCCCGTCGCCGGAACCCTCTGCGACGTACCCTCGTGCCCTGCAGGTTCGAGTTTTGTTTTCTTTTCTGTCTGTAACCGCAACTCAAGCAAGTTTTCCAGCCTGCACCACTGACATCTCGGTGTAAGAAAACAATCTTTGAAACTACCGCTACGCGTTTGTGCCTAGTTCCAGCTCGACGGCCTTCCCTCTCCAACCTGGCGTGCCCAGGCTGCTGGCCACAGCCCGCGTGCAGCACGAAAAAGGGCTCGGGTCGCTCCCGGCCCGCACACTCTGGACTTGAACTTGCCAACTGCTGGGCTGCCAATGTGTTCTTTAGTGCCCCAGCTACACCACCCCCCTAAAAAGAACCAACCAGCGATAAAGTTAGTGCTTAAAAACTTGCAACATCTCTAGAGCTGGTTTGTATTCTGTTTTCATTTGAACTTTTAGCAGGGCCCTCAGTCTGTGATCTGGAGGCTCTGGTCAGGGTGGAAGCCGCACGCGTGCGGGGCCGTCTTCCTCTCGCTCTTCCACTTACGTCTCTGGGCAGAGTTTCGCTGGTCGGTGTCTACAGGCTCCCTCAAGTTGCTCAAGGGGCCGTGGGCGCTGGCCAGCGTGGTCCACTCAATGCTCTCTTCTAGATCCCTTGTTATTAACCTGTGACCTCCCTCCCTTCACAGTTATCTTTCCTATTTATTCCAAAAAATTAGTTGATATCCCCGGAGCCTCTCTTATTAAGGGAGGTTTATAGTTTCTTGGTGGGCACTGGACCATAATTTCCCTTTGGCACATCAAATAGGTTGATCTGGGTTTAAGGGGGGAAAGGCGCACTTGGGAAAAAAAAATAAAACCAGGCACGTGGGCAATTAGTGGTATTGAACCACACATTTTTTCAGGGTTGAGTTTCACAAACGGCTTCAGTGAGCACAGGATTGGCCTCTTAGGGCCCTGCGAGGTTAAAAACCAGTTATAGAGTTGTTACACATTTTCAAATACAAGCAGCCCTCAGACTTAACAGCACAATTGGTTCCTGGTCTTAAGTCGAAATGTTGAAACTCGGAACCGATTTCCCCATAGGAAACAATGTCATAAATAGGGGATTGGTTCCTGAACCAAGGCCCGATACTCTAGTTTCACCAAAAATAACCCAGAATTTTGTACTCAAATCAATTATAGATGAGTAATCTAGCTACATTAATGTGTTTATATTGTAAATAGCAATCGTATGGATTTGGAAGGACTTCTTTGAGGTGACGTTGCTGAACTATCCCTTTTTGAAGGGCTCCTGGTTGGACTTTTTGAAGGGCTCTTGGCTGGGATCTTCTCAGGAGTCTTGGCTGCAGGTTTTTCTGGAGTCTTGTCTGCTTTCTTAAAAGAAAGCGTCCAAGGAAGTTTTGACAGATGTTTTCCAGAGAGATGGGCAATGTAGCAAACTTGTTCGTTGGTGTGGCATCGCATCAGATCAAGCATTGTAAAGTTGAAACCCATGTCAGAAAGTTGAGACAGGGTGTCCAGTTATAAATGTAAGTGCACAACGTTGTAACTTGAAACCTTGTAAGTCAAGGACTGCCTGTACTAACTTTATAATTGACTGGCTTTGTTATAGCTGCATAGTCATTTTTTTTGTGTGATAATTAATTTGCATGTGTGGCCAGTCTAAATTTATTGTGCACTTCACCAGTTCATTGCGTGATATATGTAATGTGTAGTAGGGGCCTCAGTTGCCACATTCTGCTATTGCACTGAGTTGTTCCACAAGCACCTTCCTGCCTCCTTAACTGGAGTCCTAGTGGAATGGGCCTGATTGCCCAGCTAATTGCATCTGGTTGGCCTCAAAGCAGCGATTTCCCACCAGGGTACTGCGGCACCCTAGGGTGCCTTGAGAACCCTGCAGGGTTAATGCTGTTAGGTGTGCAAATGTAAGTCACAAGATAAACCCAGAGATTTCAAATACAAATCTACAGTGCAATAATATTCTGCCCTGTAGTGGTCTTTCTGAATTCTTTGCAGCAGAAACACTGCTCTATTATTTTTGTGTAGTCAAAAATAAGGGAGGACCAAGAGATGGCATTTTCCATGGGTTGCCTCGATTCTAACAGGAAGTTCTTTGAGTTGAGGAAGGTTGAGAACCACTGCCTTAGATTCAAGAGAAACATAATTCAGTGTTGGAACAAATTTTGAGACTCTAGAAGACTTCCTTGCTATGTTATTTTTTACTCCCCTCTCCCCGCGTTTTTTCTATGAGATGCTCATGAATTTGCAATCTCATGCATAGGATGCTACAGGTACATGCACATCGCTATTTCGTATCGTTTCAGTAAAAAGGATGCAGGAGAAATGTCTTATCCAGACATATTTCATAGATTTCATAGACTGCTACAAATGCCAGTTTCTTTTGGTATCACAGTCACAGATGACAATGCCTCTGTTAGATACTTGACATGTTTTTTTTTATGGCATCTTCTAATTTTAACCAGTTCCCCTCCCACTCGCTCCTTGCTGCCCAAATGTACGGTGGTAATCAAAATCAATGCCAGTCTTCAAAGTCAATTTAATTGTAAATATAGGGGCAAAATCCCAAATTACTAACCACTACCTCATGAGGATTGAACACTAAAAAGGATCACAGCAATGGGTTTTTTAAGCCACCATTACTAGCCTGTTAACAGGCACTTCTCTAAAAGAATAACAACGTTCTGATACAGCCTTGAATTTAAGAGCCACTGATGCAGTCGTGTTTGATTGTCAGGAGGTCAAATTTGGTATTGTCAGTTTACAGCATCTGTCACAATTGGCGTTTTAGAGTTGCTCATAGGCAGGCTAAGGAATGGATGAGCTTGGAGAGTGAATTTACTGCCTACTTTAGCTGCAGATCTTGTAGGGCCTAGGCCATCACTGGGACATACAGCAGGCCTATGCTTACACCTGCTCTGCTGATAAAGACCAATCTTGCAGTTTCAAGGGGAGTTAAAGAAATTGGTACCTTTCACTAGCACTTAAAAAGCTACTTTCTAACTTTGAAAGGAAAAAAAAAGGAGCTTCCAAAAGCAATGTGCTGTAACAATGCAGGATGGACAAGGGTTTTTCCAGCCGCAGTGATGCCGAGAGAGGGAATTTTCTTTCGTATTTTTTTCTAGATGATGTCACAACAATCCTTCAGCTTCCCACTCTGCTTGCAAGGACTATGATCATGTTAAAAAAAACCCAGCCTATTCTGCAAGTGATGTTGTAACCATAGTCCAGAAATTATGCAAGAGGCAAAGATTTCTTAGGGTGATATTTTTATTGGACCACCTATGTGTCTGGCATAAAGATA